AATTGCAGCTTTATTCATTGTGACACCGCATAGAAAAGTATTGCAACACTCATTGGAATGTTGCATCAACCCCCTAAAAGTTCAGCAACACCTAAAAAATGTTGAAAAAGCTGAAAATCGTGCTGAATACGCTTGGGGAAGATAGAATTTGTTTCTTTGGAACTTGAAAAAGTACTGATTCACTTCAGAAAAGTTCGAACTCGCTTCGTAAAATACTAAAGCATTTCATAAAACAACAACTTCTAAAAGAACTGAATCACTTCAGAAATATTCGGAATCACTTCCTACAACACTGAATTACTTCATAAATGTCCAAAATCTCTTTGGAAAGTACCAAATCACTTCACAAACGATCGAAATCATTTCGAAAAGTACTAAATCACAAAGGAAAGGTTCAAATCACTTCGGATAGCTCTTAACCACTTCAAAATCACTTCTAAAAGAACTGAATGGTTCTGATTTTATTCGTCTTTGGAACTTGAAAAGGTAATGATTTACTTCAAAAAAAGTTCTAAACGACTTGATGAGTTCAAATTTAACGATTTTTTTTATCCCTAATCATGCAACCTTAGCGGGCGCAAGCGATTTCAAATTTATTATTTTTCAATTATTTTTTGAACATGACTATGATCCATTTCAAATTTCAAGGTTTTTATCACTTTTTTGTCATCCTGAACATGTGGACAAGGGGCGCAAATCATTTCAAACTTAACATTTCAAACTTAAAATTTTCTCTGATTTTGTATACCAGGGTCATTTCAAATTTTACATTTATTTAATTTATTTTCCTTTTCGTTTATATCAGGGGCACTAGCCACTTCAAATGATAATATTTTTTATCAATTTGTCCCTGCACATGTTTACCAGGAGCGCAAGCCATTTCAAATTTAGGGATTTTTCAATTTTCACCTGAACATGTGTATCAGAGATTTGCGAATCAGGGGCGCAAGTATTCGAAGGTAACCTTAGCTAGTGCAGTGTATGTTAAGTATTTAACTTTTTCGGATAGATACTACTCTTTTTGGAGCTAAGTAGTCATCGACTACCCGCGACTACCCACAACCACAGCACTCTTCACACCCTAAGAACAGCACATACCCATTATGAGGTTAAATTTTGCAACAGCTAACAACGTCTACACACTAACTTTAGATTACTGGAGGCAGTAAAATTTTACTGGGTTTTTGAATTGCGGATCGCCCAGTAATCATCACAGCAAAACAAATCATTACCGAACTGTCCGTAAAAGTCAATCTGTCAAAAAACTGTATATCCAGTAATTTATGCGAGTTGCCTGGACACTGGAAAGCCCAGTAAATGTGATCGTTATTTTGTCACAATTAAACTGGCAAGTCAGTTATTTTGTGCATGCTTGTACCGGGTAACCCAGTTATATTAAAAGCTTAATTAGGTGAAAAATAAACATTTCATTCTAATAATAATTGGACGCACATAAAACTCATTTATTTCAATTTTTGTTAGCAAATGTTGCACTACTCATATATTTAGAATTGGTAGGGTTGCTGTTATCCATAAAATCAATCCCCCTTATTCTGCGAGTCACGTGACTCTCTGTCACCGGTGAGGTGAAAATTGTCACCTCTGTGAGGTGACTCTCCATGTAAATCAAATGGAGAGTCACCTCACACGAGGTGACTATTGTCACCTCACCGGTGAGAGAGAGTCACGTGACTCGCAGAATAGGGGGGAATGTTAACTACGGAGAAACTCGTAGTTGGTTTCCCGCACCCCGATAAAAGCTGTTTTAAGGAATACAAGAATAATTATTGCTTGTCGCTCGGCCGCTCGGTGCAGTCAACATTGAAAACAGAGACATTCACAACATTATGGAAACATTCCTTTGCCAAGGAACAGTCTCGTTCTTCCAGAAGGTAATTCCATCGGTGATGTCTTCTGGAAATTTTCCACGGACGAAAAATGTTGGGTTTTTGATGTTGGTATTGGATTGTTCATCTAAACGAAAAGAAAATATTTGTTTCACAAACCATAAGCCAAATTATTCATACTCGTACGTACTTGGATCCATTCTGCGATTCCAGCCAATGAATTATTGTCGATCTTGATAACTTGCTTCCGGATTTTTCTGGAGCCAAACTGGTGGCGGTTAAAAAATTGACAGCTTATAATTTTACAATTCTTGGTCGGTAAAATAAACTGATCATTTTGCTGACTGGCCAGTAAAAAAATAAGAACTACTTAGTGCACAGTATTTAATTTTACTGACTTTTCGTGAAATCTCGAAAAATTAAGAATTACCGATTTTCTCAGTAAATTTATATTCTGTGTACAGTGTTTTGTATCAAACGTTACCGAAATTCAGTTTGTTTTTACAGATTGTCAGTTATTTCCCAGATTTGAACTGAATTTTCAGTAAAAATGTCGTTTTACGGTGCAAGCCCAGTATAAAAAAAATACCGAACAACTAAATGCTGGATAAGTGTGTAGTGTCTACGGAAATGAGTTTGTATCAACCCAGTGGAAACTGAATTTATATTAGATCCAAAATCATCGAATGTATCATCAAGCATTGAGGAACCACAAGTTTGCAACTCTATTTAAAATTTTAAATGGACAGCCATCCTCAAACTACACCAAACTACACTGAGTAATTAATTTGTTAAGAACTAACGAAGTCAGTCATGCTTATTAGTTAGTTTCTGTGTTTAAGAAATATTTCCCTGAATTTGAATGAAATTGCCAGAGATTCCCTGATCTTCCAGATTTTTCCGGGTAGTCGACACCCTGTCTGAAAAAGGCATACAGTAATACTTCCATTTATGCGGTGGGTGGTTCTGTCCACGCACCGCTGGCTCTTGGCTATCCTTCAACCAATTAGTTACTTTGATTTATTGTATGTGATTAGTGTCAACCATAAACTAGTTATCCACAGACCACCAGCTCAATTGGTTGAAGGACTGCAGAGAAATAGCTGTAGGTGGACCGTACCACCCACCGCATAAATGTAGAGATTACTGTAATTCATATTTAGTGGGATTTACCCATCACACTACCCATTCTATCTAAAGCCCTCTAGTAAAAGTATGGACTGACTGAAACCAGAAAACTGCAAAAAGTTGTTCCAATCGAGCAACCCTAATCAAATTTGTATAAAGAAAGAGAGAGAAGGATTAGTAATTTCCATTTAATTGGCGTTGACGGCACCGTCGAGAAGTTGTCTATTCTAGCAAAAATTGACAGTTTCTTATGGAAATTTTCATTGGAATGAAAGGATAGTACCATAGAGGTAACTCTAAGACCACTGGGTCCCGAAGAAAATCATTATTATTTTTGGCTCACTCAGTACCAGAACAACGGTCCCAAGCAGTCCCAAGCTATTTCACTCACCCCTGCATGTTCTGCATGAATCCACACACCCCTGATGTTATCTGTCAAACTTTCATAGCGAATCAAAACAAACATAGTGTAGTAATAGAATTTCAACTAGAATAGGGTACGTTAATCGTTTGCTTGGGACCAATAGGCTACTACAGTGGTGAGCCAATTTAAAATCGTTAGTTTCGTATTGATTGTTGATAGTACGATCATAGAGGTAACTCTACGACTAGAAGGTCCCGAAATAACGTGCTCAACTTTTTGGCTCAGCTCTGGTACACTCTTCGGTCCCAAGCTAATCGTATCACCCCTCGAAACATAAGAAAAACCAATAACCCCTCAATTTATCTGTCAAACATTCATAGCGAATCAAAACAAACATTGCGTAGTACTAGAATTTCGACTAGAATGGGGTTCGTTAATTGATTTGCTTGGGACCAATAGGCTAGTCAAGTAGTGAGCTAATTTAAAATCGTTAGTTTTGTATTGATTGTTGGTACGATGGCCGCCATGTTTCACGCACAGCTTGCTTATGGATTTTACCATAGAAGTAAAGAACTACAGAGTCGCCGTCAACGCCAATTCCACTACTTGATTTGCTTATCCTTGACGGATATGCGTATTTCGTCTACAATGTGCAGACTTCTTCAGTGTCTTATACTAATACTCGAACTAGTACAAGACACTGAAGAAGTCTGCACATTGTAGACGAAATACGCGTATCCGTCAATAATAAGCAAATAAAGTAGTGGAATTAAATGGAAATTACTAATACTTCTCTCTCTCTCTCTCTTAACACAATTATTCCACTAAGACACCCTCATTCATCAGGAAAATTTGAATGGTTATTTTGTTTAACTACGTGTTCATGGTATCATCCAAACCATTTGTGGAATAGTTCTATCATCTGGGGTATCGCTCGGGTGGTGAGATTTTCACGTCCGGTTGTATTGGTGCGATATGTGAGAGCGTGTTTGTGAAAATCCGAGGAAAATACATAACAGATCGCTGTCAAACTCATTTTGACAGATCCAATTTCATACATTTTTTAGGTTAGCCAGAGGAAAATAATAAACAACTTTATACGGCGATACACCCATTATAGTGTGCGAGCGTTAAACGTCACTAATCGCTATTGTATTTTTTTTTTAAATAAGAAAACCAGTACATTTTGACACTTCGATTGGGACAGACTTTTACTAGAGGGCTTAATTCTATCGATACCTGTTTGTTTACATGCACACCATCAGCGCTGTGTGATGCACCAAAAAGCTTTCCTGGAACCTAATCAGAATGCATCTCTTCCGGCAGAGAGCCAAAGTGGCAGTGAGTCAAAGAGAGGCAGAGAGAGAGAGAGAGAGAAACGCTCTCTCCGACACTGCCACGATGTTTTCACAAACAACACATGCGCGCACCCGGCCCTCGTCCATCTTCGTCTGGCAAACACGCGCTTACGCCATACAAAAACAATGGCTTGCTTATTCGCTCTGACTCACCTGGTCACATGGAGGCTCTCCGGGTCGAGAACACTCAATTTTAGTTCGGTTGACTGTACCTCGAGCAAGATGCCCGCCTGCCAGATGCCAGATGTTGTTGTTGGTGGTGCTGCACTGGGAGTCTTTGGCTTTTATGACGATGCAAATATACTGCGAGTGAGTTCAGTACTCGTCTGACAACTGCCTGCTCGTGGTGAGCTCTATAGCAAAACCAATCGACCCAAACTGCTGGTCTATCGTACAGAAGAAAGAAAGTATTATCTACTGTCGGATGGTCATTAACCACTGTTTTCTGTGTGTTCTATGCTTCGAACTTGATTAGTCTGCCTACATTTTTTTCGAAAAAGTGTTCGTCCCGTGCCTGTGAGCGATGTGAAAACTACTCAGTGATATAAAACTACCTTCCAATAATGGTGATGGTGGCCGCAGTGGCTGTATTGTGGTGATGTGTGTTCCTTAGAGCTAGAGCTACAGTCAACAAACAAACTGATAACGTTGTGTCCCCTTAAATCCCACTTTTCTCTTTCCATTCTGGCTGTCCAAACAACAGTGGTGAGCTCTTCCTGCAGTTGCGGCCTCGGCGTTCTTGAGATGAGCAGCTATTCTTCATCGTCTACAGAGCAAAACGGGCAACTTGGAAAGGCGACATCCGATATTCGCACGGACAATGAAAAGCTGGTGGTAAGGCAGAAAATCAATAATAACAGCAACAGCAACTACAGTTCTAGTTCTGCGGGTGCAGTCGGAGCAGCAGTGCACCAAAGAGAAACTGCATTGAAGGGCAGATGTGATAGTGTTGGTAGTGTTTTCACGGAAGACTGCAACGAGATGAATATCAACGGAGGAAGGGCGGATGAGGGGGTGGTGGAATCACCCGTGTTGGGTGGCTCGCAGACGTCCTTGAGCGAGGAACGACTACGTAGGAAGCTGCAATTTTTCTTCATGAATCCAATCGAGAAATGGCAAGCTAAAAGACGATTTCCCTACAAGTTTGTCGTTCAGGTCATAAAGATTGTACTGGTCACGCTCCAGTTGTGCCTTTTTGCGCACTCCCGATACATGCACGTGAACTACACGTGGGACAATACAATTACGTTCTCACACATGTTCCTTCGGGGATGGGACATCACAATGGAAGTCAGCACCTATCCGCCGGAGACGGGACCGCTTTCCGTCTATGCGATTGATGAATTCTTCCAAACCATCGACTACGCAATCGATGGCTACGCAAATCTGTCGGAAGCCATTGGGCCGTACTCCTACCCGAACGAAGACAACACTATGCCTCCGATGCAGTTCTGTTTGTACCGCTACAAGGACGGTACAATTTTCGGATTCAACGAGAGCTACGTTTTCAACCCGGAAATCGACACGCTCTGTCTGGACCTGGACAGCAACGTTACGGCCATCGGTAGTCGCAAGTATCTCCACCAGAAAGATATCCATATCAACTTCTCGGCTTTGGTGAAGGCCGAACTTAAGTTTGCCATCAAAACGGTCAACTTTAAAGCTGCCGGCCCAATAACGGCCCCGGACTGCTACCAATTCGATATCCTCATCTTCTTCAACAACCAAGATCACGACGGTCAAATGACGCTGAAACTCGAAGCGGAACCCATGCGTCTCATTTGCCACGGAGACGTTGAGTTCATCAAAAACTCACAAATCGATGACGCTCTCCGTAGCGCCCTGAACATTCTGGTAATCGTAATATGCGTCGTGTCGTTCGCCCTCTGCGCTCGTGCCATTTACCGGGCGCAGCTTCTCCGGATCATCACCGCCGACTTCTTCCAGCAAGTGTACGGCAAGGACCTCACCCTCGAAGGCAAGATGGAATTCGTCAACATGTGGTACATCATGATCGTCTGCAACGACGTCCTCCTTATCATTGGTTCGGCCCTCAAAGAGCAAATCGAGCAGAAACACTTCATCGCCGATGACTGGAACCTTTGCTCCTTGCTGCTTGGCATAGGCAACCTACTGGTCTGGTTCGGCGTCCTGCGATACTTGGGCTTCTTCAAAACCTATAATGTCGTCATCCTTACCCTGAAGAAAGCCGCCCCTAAAATCCTCCGATTCCTGCTGTGCGCTCTCCTGATCTACGCCGGTTTCACCTTCTGCGGCTGGCTCGTCCTCGGTCCCTACCACATCAAGTTCCGTTCCCTTTCCACCACTTCCGAGTGCCTCTTTTCCCTCATCAACGGCGATGACATGTTCGCCACCTTCACCATCATGTCCGAGAAATCCGTCATGCTGTGGTGGTTCTGCCGCATCTATCTCTACTCCTTCACCAGCCTGTATATCTACGTGGTCCTGTCGCTGTTCATCTCGGTCATCATGGACGCCTACGACACGATCAAGAAGTATTACAAGGACGGCTTCCCGCAGTCCGATCTGAGGCTATTCGTTGGTCCGTACCACCCGAACGACTTCTCCACCGGAGTGTTCCGCGACGACGATTTCGACTGTGATCAAAGAATCGGCTTTCTGGAGTCTCTGAAACGGATATTTTGCTTTTGGCGAAGCAATCGCGACCGAGGCCCAACCGGATACACGTCCCTCATACCGAAGGCGTCGTCTTCCTCCTCCGCCGAAGGCTATGTCTCGTAAATAAAGTAGCGAATTTAATTGCAAGTTGATATTTTGTACCCGGAGAAATATTCCAGGCTTTGTTTTAACATTCACTGTTATGTATCACGATTAGCCCGTAAGTTGAAATTGGAACTGCTACCAAAAACTAGAAATCCCTTTCTTTAGAGCACTGTCCAGCAAGCCATTGTAAAATTAGGTTAAATAGTAGTTATTCGTTTTCGTAGCCGCTCAAATATAACGCAAATATTATAGCATTGGGGAAATAACAATGCTTCAAAAAATAAGGGGATGAATTGAATTTTATGTGATGAAATAAAATTACCACTATTCTTATGAAATACTATTCTTTTTGTTTACCGAAAATCCTCTACATAATCTTCAATTTTGTGGCATGCCCCCAGGAAAGTCTTGGAATAGTTTTACACCTGTTTTTTTTACTCTTTATTTTTTCCATATTCAAATTAAAATACATTTTATTTTAATCTAGATTGTTCCAGATACTACAGTAATTTACCACCCTAAAGTATTATGATATATATCTAAGTGTTTTTACATTGTTTATGCTTAAGCAATTCAGGATTTTAACAGGTTGTCTATGCCTGTATGTCAGTATAACAATTGACATCTTAAAACTAAAAATTAAAACTACAGGGTGCGTGACGAATTTTTGCAGTAAATGGCATATATGGAAGTTGTAAGTAAATTTATTAAAAAAAAATTGCCTTCCCTTTCGACGACTGTAGTAAGACGCTTCCGGAAACTGCAGTATGCACGTTTTAAAATGTTTCGATCCATAGATGTCATCACTGCCTTGATTTTAGCTTTTAGCGACTTAAGTGTGGTGTGAGGGGTTCTATTGGTATCCCGTTGGACGACGCCCTATACAAAATAATCCAACGGATTGATATCGGGACTGCTTGGGGGCCAAATTTCTTCCTCCCAAATTTACGAAATATTTTCCGTAAGCCATTTCTGTGCTTTATTAGCAGCCTTTTTTAATATTATACACTGTTCTTTCAGACACATTTACCGACCGAATTATTTCTTTCATGCATACTCCGGCGCGCAACAAAGCGACAACGGCTGACAGATTGCTCTCTTGTTTCGACATCTTTACGTTTACTCAACATTGTTTGTTTAAATCTTACACCTAACAGTATAAGCTATCCAGTGCTGCCAAATATATCTAAATCATGATGCACAAGCATGATAAATTACTATTTGAAATTTACTGCAAAAATTCGTCACGTACCCTGTAAATCTTATCTAAATGTAAAGGGAATTGATCGTTGCAAGTGAGGATTGTAACGATTTTTGCCTGTAATTTTTTAATATTTTGTAGGACTCAACATCCGAAATTTTATGTACGTCGATAGTACTGTACCAGGGAGGCAACTTCAAAATCATCGTCAGAACTTTGTTCGGAATCATTTGAAGTGATTAATTCCAGATAGTGCAACAACTAGACTATATTGGCACAGTATAAAGCATGGCCAGTCTTAAATCTTGTTTGAATAGGGTTAACTACCCCATTTCCGGCCTATTAAGCACAACCCGCACTTAGTCTTTCTTAATCTAGCGCAGTTTAGCACCAAACGGAATGTTATTATTACTGATGGCTTCCAAATTTATTTACCTTTCCGTATGTACCGTAAGATTTGATAAAGAGAAACCAATTGATGAGATATTGTCAAAAGTCTAACACTGCTTCTTGACGCCAAACTCGGCCTACGGGTTCTAAACTTGGCCTAACGCTTTGAAACGCCATTGAAACGCCAATGAATTCACTTCGGCCTATCGGATGAAGATAAAACATGATTCGGTCGGAGCTCTTCTTTTGTTTTTTGGAATAATGGGTGCAAACCTTCATATCACGCGTTCTCATTGACTTCGTTCGGTAGCTTATTAACTAAAGTATCGTACCAACCGCATAATTGACTTGTTAACTCTGAAATCATGGATTTATTTGAAGTTTTCTGCTCGATAGGCCCAAAATGGGCGATTAGGCCGAAGTAGTTCTCTACCCTACCAGAAGTTTATTTCCTGTTTATCAGAGGATACAAACATTACATTTATATATTTATTACATTAAGCTAGAATGCCCTCAATGTGATCATTAAAAGATAACTTTTGGTCAAGTACTAATCCAATATATCTCACTTGACTTGACCATTGAATATAAGCTATTTTACGTGACGTCTTGATGACAGTTCCTGGCGGGCCACTCGAACGCGCTCGAGGCATTGTTATTGTTTACGTATGATGTTTTTGTTTTGATTTTGGTCGTATTTTGATTTTGTATCGTGTGAAAGTGAAAATTAAAAATGCCTCCGAAAAAAACTCCTAAACATATCGCAGCAAAACTGTTGAAAACTGCATCATCTTCAGCGCGATCAGGTAACATAATTAATTGATCTTAAGATGCCGTTAATTTCCCGATGTAGAGCAGCAATGGGGAAGGCCCAGTAAAACGCTAAAAGAAAATTTGCAACAACCCCTCCAAGAAATAGACTTTGGTTATACTCGCAGTAGTACAGATGCAGTATATGGAAATGTTCCAACTCTTGACCATCCTTCCATCCGAAATATTTTCAACGAGGTCTATCAGTTAAATTCTCTGTGTACTGCAATGCAAATATTTTGCATAAATGATAGTAAATGTTTTCGGTGCTTGCAGAATGCTCAGGAGAACGAAATCGAATCTTGCTTGCTGCTCAATGACTTGTACGACGAAACACTAATGGATATGTCTATTGAACGACTGAGATTTAATGCTGGTGATTTGTATGACACAATGCGAGAGACAATGAATGAAGAAGTCCAATTGCAAGTTGAGACAAAAACGAGAGGACAATGGAAATGTGACCTGTGGAAAAAGTTTCGTATTGGAAGAATTACTGCATCAATTTTAAAAAAGGTTGTATCGACAAAAATAGACGCTCCATCATTGTCACTTTTAAAAGCCATTTGCTATCCCGACACAACGTATTTCTCTACACAAGCAACGCGTTATGGCAAGAATATGGAAAAAGTCACTTTAAACAAGCTATCTGTTTATTTGATTAAAAATCACGCAGACGCTTCTATTATCGAAACGGGTTTGATAATAAGCAAACAACATCCTGAGATAGCTGCATCTCCTGATGGGCTCCTGGTTTGTGGTTGCTGCAGAAAGATTCCCCTTGAAATTAAGTGTCCCTTCAAATTTAAGGACGAGACAGATGTTCTTATTAAGCTCTCGCAGAAGCCGCAGCCTTACATTAGACAAACAGCAGATGGTTTCGAGCTTGTCACAACACACGACTACTATGCGCAAGTTCAGACGCAAATTATGCTAACCGAAGCTGACTATGGGTACTTTTACGTATGGACCAAACAGGAAGATGTGCTTATCAAGGTAGCAAAAGATGAAGAGTACTGGAAGCAAGCAGTATTCAAAGCGAACATATTTTTTAAGGCTGTGGTATTACCTGAGCTAATGGGAAAGTATTTTACAAGGAAGCGAGAATAATGCAGACGTCCTGAAAATGTACAGAATGTGTTGATAGTTGATTTGAAGAAATTTTTGAATTGTTTTTATTTCAATACAAGAAACAGTGTGGACAAATAGAACATTTTGTCCTATTTGGTTTTAATCAATTATGGGTTTACACATATTGACGAGAATCGATGCTACATACACTATCATATCCATTGCCATAACCCCGTTATGTTCTCGCATGATCAGGGTCATTGGCACATGTCCCTTCAATAGCTGATACTTCGCACGGATTAGTCCAATCACTCGTTCGACGTGAATTCTAACGGTTGCAATTTTCCTGGTATTTTCCACGTCTAAAGCTGTTAGCTGAGCCCCTGTTTTTTTGAAAGCTGGTAGATTCAATCTGGCATTTTTCTTTTTAATATCCGCATCTATAAGAAATCCACGATCCACCATTATAACATCACCCTCAGACACATTATAACATCACCCAAGAATCCACACGTTGTAGTAATATATTTGTCTGAAGCTCTACCTCCATAACCCTTTGAAATAAAAATCACGCATCCTGCTGGACTTATTCCAATCAAATATTTCAAAGTGTTTCCTTTTTTGTAATCCGACCATTGGGGTTTGATGATCGCTCACCACGAATTTCGAAACAATCAATTATGATCGAAGTTTCATCTCCAAACAAATCACGGAAACACTGAGGAGTATGTTCTCTTAAGGTGTCCCTCGACGGCCAGTGAACAACATTATGAAATGTTTTGTATAAAGTGTAAATAGTTGAAAGAAAGTATTTAGAGGTGGTTGCTGGGCACACTTCGTAGGCAATACTTAGTGATTTGTAAAAATAGTCAAATCGAAGCTTCTGCAGTGTCATGAGAAAAACCTGCTCCTTAGTCAGATTTAACGGGGCAACCATATATGGTTCAATGCTTCGAAAAATAATTTCTACAACATGATAGTTGTCGAGTCCCGTATAATATTTAATATCCAATGGTCTCTCCTTCAAGCTTTGCATATCAACTTTCGTTCGTCTTATGGTTTCTTTTAAATCTTCCATTTCCATGCTTTGTCGCATTATGATTTTTTCCAATCGCTTAACCTCCTGAGCAGCTTTATTATCTGTGGTGGGATCGTCGTTTTCAGCTGACACGGTCTGCGTAAAATGGCTTCTAACGAATGGTGTTGCTTGAACTGCCATATTACGTGTCTGCTGTTTGCGTCTCTTAATAGGGTCATCACCACCTCCTTTAGACAGATTCCCATAAAGTAACTGCTGCTCATCGAGAGGAAGCTGATCATCCCCTAAAAAAGATCACATACATTTTTAACAAAATTCATTTTTCATGAAACAAGATACATACCGTCACAAGAGAGAGTGCATTCTGAAGATGAACAAGAAGCGTCTACAGCTCGAAAGACAAGTTGAAAGTTATATTTTGATGATGCTACACCATTATGCATTGAGATACAAGAGAGGGTTCTTTCGGAAGATGATGAGGAAGCGTCCGAATCATTTTCTTTATTTTCAACAAACTTGACGGTATCAGTTGCTCCGGATGCGGACTTGTGACCATCGTACAATTTATCTGGATTTTCGAACTTGCAGTCGGTGGCCGTATTGGTCGTTCCCAATGCCTCTTCCGGAACGGCATTATACGTTCTGTTTGGGAGCAAAAGTACGGGAATCCAATCAATGTCACTTTTGCATGCCGGTTGAGCAGGTCGACCTACAATGGAGATGGGCATTTCAATGTTTATTACAAGATTATTGTAACAGGATGTTTCATATTATTAATTCATCAA